CCCCCTTGACCTGTCCGTCCTCCCTGGACTGACCTATCCCCTCCCTACCTCCCCACCTACACTCCCCTCTACTGGCTCGATCCCCGTCTCTTTGACCTGTCTGTTTCCTCTCCACCTATCTTCTCCTCTATCCATCTTCTATCCGCCTCCCCCTCTCTCCCTATTTATTTCAGAACCCCCTTCCCCTCCCCCATTTCTGAAGAAGGGTCTAGGCCCGAAACGTCAGCCTTCCTGCTTCTCTGATGCTGCTTGGCCTGCTGTGTTCATCCAGCTCTGCACCTTGTTATCTCATGTCTTTCAAACCGTTCAGTTCAGAAGAAGCTGGCTGCAGGGAACAACTCTTTTTCAGCAGAATTTAACTAATATTCTTGATCAAAAGAGCAAAACCCTTAAAAAAATAGAAGGCCTCAGTTAATACTGAGTTGGATTTCTGGGATAGCCAAACTGAGAAGAAAGAGAGTTCTTAGAGGCAAGACTCTAGAGTTAAAGAACATTCAAACAAGGAGAGTTCTGACTCAAGGTGACTATCACTAAGGTATTAGTGATAACTGCATTGAACAGAGAGCTTACACCCAGAAGGAGGAGATTTGAAGGAAACACCTTGTCAGAAGTAAGTGGAAGAACCAGGAAATGTCAACCTATATATGAATCTTTCAAACGGTACTCAGATGAAGTCATTAATCTTACAATTTCTAATAAGTTATCTGACTGATTTTTTTTTTTGGGGATGCAACTCAAGTGGATATGGAAGGAAATTTAGGTTAAGAGATTTGGCTTAGAAGATAAGTAGCATTTCCTTGTATTTTCAAAGTCTTTGACAGACTGACTATTTAAGATAGAATGTAGCTATTGGCTTTCATGATGTTTGATATTTGTGTTGTACAATGTTTTGGTTTTAACAGGGAACCTTGTAACTTCATTCTTTTAGTTAATACTTGTATTTTTTGATTTCAAACATAATAGCATTGTTGATCTCAGCTGAAATCATAAATCTTCCAACATCCAAGAGTAATAGAATAGCATCAACACAGACTAATAGGGCTTGCCTTTAAATTTTTGTATTAATGAGCATGATTTTTCAAGAGTAGAGTGGCTCCTGTTGTGCTCTTTTAGACATGTTCCTGCATATGTAGGTGATGAACAACAAAATAAGCAACGTGCATCTCCTTACTGAATGAAACTTGCATATTGACTGAATATTCTTTCCTGATTTTGCAGTTAATGGAGCACTGCATCAAACAGAACAACGCAATTAATATTTATGAGGAATACTTTGATGATGAAGAGGAATCTGTTGAAAGATTTATCGAACCTTCATCTGCAAAAACTATAAATGTTTTCAGGTAATGGTGCATCCTTGAGTATTATATGGATGTCTCTTTAGATGAAAAATTCCTTGTCAATGAAAGATTATGGACAATTTTTCAAGGGTAACTCCAGCCTGTTTCAAATTGTGAGTAAATGCTTGTGGAAAACCTCAAGGTGACTGACCAAAAGGTAATGTATTCAAGCTTACCCACAATTTATTGCAGCTCCAAACATAAAGACATGACGAATCTTTTCATTAAAAACTGTTATCCAACAACTAATCTTAACTGTAACATCTTCCCCATCCCTCCCTACTTAACATTTTAAAAGCAACAATTCAGTTCATCCTTGTCTGAATAACATTCAGTACTTTGTTTTATTCTTCAGATTTGCCAGTAAGCTTCTATCTCTTCCTCGTGTCTGTTACAAAATTCATCCACACTCTTTGAATTAGTCGGTATGAATGTACTGATAATGTTGCTTCTAGCAGCAGTAGTTGTCTACCCCAGTGGCAGTCTACATCACATCTGCCATCTGTGAGATTCATGTTGCATTCTTCAAGGCTCTGGGTATATTCAAGTGCTGCCAGAAATTCATCTGTATGTGCTGGATTGACAATAATCCTGCTATCAGTCTGTAGGAAAACATTTGGAATTATAAGACACTATTTCATCCTCAGCTAGAGTATTGCATTCATTTCTAGGCAATGTACTTTAGGAAGGACATGAAGGCATTAGTGAGTTAAAGAGTTTTGCAAGAATCATTCCAGGGCTGAAGAATTTCAGTTACTGAGGTTGGAGAAGTTGTTCTGTGTTTCTTGGAGAAGAAAAGACTGAGAAGAAATCTGACAGAAGTATTCAAAAATCATGAAAAATTTGAAAAAGAATATGCAGAAAAACAATGTTCCCACCTATGAAATTATTGAGAATGAGAGGGCACAGAATTTATAGTAAGCATTACAAGAAGTAAAAATGATAAGAGGAAAATCTTTTTCACAGAATGAATAGATAAGGTCTGGAGTGTGGTGGAGGCACGTTCTTTCGAGGTATTCAAATAGAAATTAGATAGTATTTCAAAAGGAACCATGTCCAGGATCACAGAGAAATGACAGGAGAATGGCAGTAAATGAGATGCTCATTTGGAGAACCAGTGCAGATATGATGGGCTGAAAAGCCACCTTATGTACTGTTACAATTCTGTGATACCAAGAGCCAAAGGACAATGGCTGTTGTTATTGGAGAACAATCATTTCAACCCCAGGACCTTGCAGCAGGAGTTCCTCAAGGCAGCATCCTATGCCCAAATGTCTTCAACTGCTTTATCAATGATCTTCCCTCCATCGTAAGGTGGGGTTATTTGCAGATGATTGCACAGTCTTAAATACCATTCATTATTCTGCAGATATTGAAGCAGTCTGTGTGTCCATATGCAGCAAGACCTGGGCAACATCCATCCTTGGACTGATAGATGAAAAGTAATGTTCACGTTACACCAGTGCCAAGCAATGACTATGTCCAGCAAGATAGAATCTAACCATTTTCTCCTCACATCCAATAACATTTTCTTTGCTAAGCTCCCCAACCATCATGAACATTGTGAGGATTAGCATTGACCAGAAATTTAACAGCAATATCAATATCATGGTTATAAGACCAGATCAGAGTCTGGAAATTCCATGGCAAGTGACTCGCCTCCTGAATCCACAAAGCCTTTAGAAGGCACAAGCTGGGAGCATGATGGAAGACTTAATCCTATGACAACTGCTCACCCGAACCAAGACCCACTACCCTCTATGGACAGGACCAATGTCATATACAAGATTCCCTGCAGAGACTGTGACGAACACTACATCGGACAAACAGGAAGGAAATTAACAACAAGGGTACACAAACATCAATTGCGTACAAAAAGACACAACCAATCCTCACTTAGCTCTATCCACATGGATAAGGAGAAACACCAGTTCAATTGGGACAACACCAAGATCTTGGGACAAGCAAAGCAGAGACAAGCACGGGAATTCCTAGAAGCCTGGTACTCCACGAAGAAAGCCATCAACAAACACAGAACTCGACCCCATATAGACTCTATTGTGAAGGAAAACTGGAAGTGAGGTAAACCAGCTCAACAGACTCCAGAGTTTAAATATCAGGCGGGAAAACACAACGGCGCTTCATGGGAGACTGCACTAATGATGTTACTCAGCAGGGTAATGAAACATCTGCAGAACAACGAAGCAGCTCGCCGAGCCAACCAACCACAACATCCGCAACCCAAGCTACAAATCTACTCTAAAAACTTATCACTTGCCTTGATGGGCGCAGCACTAACAACACTCAAGGAACTAAACATATCCAAATCAAAGGGCCCCACATCATTCAACCACCAACTTAAACATTCACTCTCTCTGCACTGATACAGTTGGCAATCTGTACCTGTTACAGATGCATTTTAGCAACTCTCAAGCTTCCTTCAACAATAACCTTCAAAATCATGGCCTGTAGCACCTAGACAGACGAGGGCTGCAGATAACTGCCATTTTCTTGCTAAGCCACGCATTATTCAAATTTTGAAATACAGAGCCAATTTGGCATCTTTCAGAATTTGGGTGCAGTGCAGGAGGGTGAGAACATGTTGCTGTGCTTCACAAGAGTAAGTGGCTGCAAAATGACACTGATAATTGCATCAAACATTATGAATGTATAAGTGTAGATGGCTGTCAGACAGAATTCTCAGATGAAACATGTATTGAAAGTGTGGAAACCGCCTTATTATCTGAAAGCTATACTAGTTGATGGACAGAGTTGAAATCAGACACTTATTGGGAGGAGCCGTCATTGGCATATGTGCTTATAAATTGGTTATAGCAATTATGATGATACTCAATCATTCTGTTTGTCTATCTGTAGTAGAAGAACGCTGACAATCGAAGGGAACAGAAAACCACAGTGGAAGGTGTCCATGACATAACTTTCACCTCTGTCCCATCCCTCCCCCTCTCAGAGAAGGTTACAGGAATCATCATTCACCTACACCCTTTCCCAACACATCCATTCACCAGTCCATTCACATTCTGTGTTAGGCTTGGGGTCACACTTTGGTAAATACATCACAGGCATGTGACTGCAACTGATAGACGATAGTAGAGCTGAAGTCTCTGACATTGGACAACTACTGGAGATCAAGGCCCTGCTAAGCCCTGTCCAGTCACCAAGCATGTGGATTTAGCCATAGGAAACCTGATGGAGATGCAGGAACAGGAAAGGGAACATCAGTCGAAGATGCCAGAAGCCAAGTGCTGACTCAAGCCAAGGCTGCAGGAGTCTGTCTACATTATAAGTACTGGTTCCAGCAATTGAGCATTTGGCTTCCTCGGTTGAGAGGGTGGCATCTGCCAAGGAGGGCCTGGTTGAGGCAGGGTATTCTGTTTCTGTTGGATATGTGTTTCGATCTACACTCTATCTCGCTAGATGTAGGTGAGAGTGAGTTGGGGGACCTCAAGCTCCCTCTGAATGCCCTTCTTTTCAAGGAGTGAGGGAGGTACTATTGCCCACAAACAGAGAAGAAGAGTGCCAGCAAATCACCTTTTATGGGCTTAATCTCAGCTCACTCCAAGGGTGCACTGCTTTTCCATCTCCCATCCACCAATGATCCTCTTGTCTTTCCAGAAGTTTAGGCTAAGGAGAGTGTACCTTCACCCATGCAGAAGAACCTCCGCTGTCTGAGCCCTCTTGGCTATGACTATCAGACAATAGCTGTCAAGGTCATACTGGGTCAAATGGTAGTGCAAGGGCCAGGTCCCTTGGGATGACACTGGCTACAGGAAATCTGCCTGGATTGGCAACAGGATTTTAAAATGGATACTGGCAATCTATATGAAGTCATTGGGAAGTATTCCGAATGTTTCAAGAGGGCCTCGGGAAGATAAAAGATGCCAGGGTCAAGATCTATGTAGACTCAGAGGCTCAACTCTAAATACTTCAAGGCACCATTGGCCCTCTATGCCCTAAGTACTCACAAAGGACAGTATGAGAACACTTGCTTGCACTTTGGGGTCTCTTCAGTTTGCACTTTCTTTCAAAGGGTAATGGAGAATATCCTCCAAGGGGCACCTAGAGTGCTGTATATCTGGATGACTGTTTAATCTCAGGAACTGCTGTAAAGGAACATGTGGATATATTGGAGGAGAACTTCCAGCATTTTTCTGAGGCTGGCATCCAGCTAAAAAGGGAAAACCGTGTTCCGCGTAAATGAGGTAATGTACCTCAAGTACAGAATCAACAACAATAGATTATACCCTATTGAAGAGAAGGTGAAAGACATATACAGGATCTGCGATCCAAGGAACGCAATGGAGTCAAAGTTTCTCTTAGGACTCAAAAATTACTAGGCAGAGATATGGTCCACATAAGGAACTATGGTGACAAAATCTCGAGGGATCCCAGAAGTTATCCTTAAAAAAATGGAATAGTATCATACATGGTCCAAACTAAGGAGATGTTTGTCCCTTGACAAAACCTGGAAAACAACAGAAATGTGATCGTGGGCAAAACGAAGCACAAAGCCCCATTATCATAGGAGTGAGGGAGAACCCTTGACTTTCGGGGTACAGATGTGATGACCCTTCCAAGGTTCATGGTGAATCACTAATTAATCTCCCTGTGGAGCTCATTGAGCATGGATTCCCTCGATAAAAGGCAATGGCCTCCCCAGCTGGAACTCATCACCTGAGTTCTTTATAAAATAGTCCCAGAGGGCACTTTTGTGGTACAGTGGTTGTCTCCCCAAGCCGGTCCAAGAAGCCTGTTTTCAAATCCCACCCCTTCCAAAGGTGTGTTAGAACATCCCTGAACAGATGGATTAAAAAAGAAAAACAGCAGACCCAGGGGACATAATGGGCTTTGCAGGTAAACTTCTAATTGGCTGCACGGTGATTACCATTATTGGTTAATAGTTTTTAAAAAAAGTTATGGTGATTTGGTTGTGGGAAAGTCATTTGGTCATGTGTGATAACATTTCTACTATGACAGATAAAGCAGACTCAGAAGGGCTCTTGTGGTGCAGTGATAGTGTTCCTAAGTCCGGGCCAGGAGGATTAGGATTAAGTCTCACCTGCTTCACCTCTGATCAGGTTGATTTGGGAAATATCTATAAAGCGATTCGGTAAGAAAAAGTGGAGGTGGGGGGAGGCAGACCCAGAGGGCTCTTTTAGTACAGTGGTAGTGTCCCTGCCTCTCAGCCAGGTGGCCCAGATTCAAGTACCACCAATCCAGAAGTGTGTCGTAACTGAAAGGGTTACTTTAAAAAAGAATGCAGAACCAAGAGGGGGCCCACAGAACTGTTTGTGCAGGACTCAGACTAGCCTATGTACGCCACATCTGGTGGATCTCTTTTGGCGTTCAACAAATAATAATGTTTCTTTCCAGTCAGGCTTCATGAGTTATTATGAGGCCATTTGACCCATCATGCCTTAATGAGCTTCTTAATGAGCATCGTTAGCTTGGGCCAATCTCCTGCTTTTTCCCATACAATTGCACGTAATTTTGTATATAGATAATCATCCAAATCCCTCTTGAATAATAGTGAAAACTGGTGTGTGTCATCTATCAAACATGCTCCATCACTTCTAGCCTCTCTTTGTCTTCCATCAACTTCCTTTCTCACTCTAGAGCTGACCAAAGAGCATCCCTCTCCCCTCCATCACTCTAAAGCCTTTCCCTTTTATTTTTGACCCTATAACATCATCCTCCATGTGCCTTCTTTCCTCTTTATCCCTACAGCCATTATTGTGCACACACCTGCTCTTGCCCTGATCTCTCCACTCCACCTGCTTTCTCCATTTATGTGACATTCTCAAGAAATCATCTGGTACCCAAACATTACCATGGACTTGTCAACATATTGGATTCCACTCCCCCTTCTTTCTGCCTCTGTTACCACCTTTGCCAAGGGTCCTCAGTTAACCCACTCCAGGACCCATCATAGGTAGACTGATACCACCTTTTAGGACTACCTGCCTCCATTTACAAGCTGGTTTTTCTGCCTCCGACTCAGTTAACTTCCCTTCTCTTGCCTATCTTGCTCCCCAGTCTCAGGAGCAGCAGAGGATTTCTCTCCTGAATCCCAAATTTGGAACATTCAGGTCTTGACAACCTCTGTGTTCTATGTTCTTGAGAAATGATGTGTGAAACAGCAAGATGAGACCCAAAGTAATGATATTTCAAGGGCCAGGCACCTGACTGTAGGTAAATTAAATATTTGAACCTTTTTCTCTTGTAAAGTGTTAGAAAGTAACAGGGAGTGTTTTTGGCAATAGAAGTGCAAATAACTCATTTTATTCTATAATCTTGACTGATAGTCTAGAGAACCATGAATCAGCGTCCCAGCTTGATTGACAGCTCTGGTTGTTTCATTTCTACTAGTTTTGCAATATTCATTTACAGAGACTAAAGTGATTTCAAGTGCCCTGCAGTTCCAGGTATTGAAACTTTAAAGGGTCTGCCCGACACTGTTATTGAGCTACAGGCAATGAACATTATCTTTTATCTATCACTGCTGTGTCGTTGCTTTGCTTTTCTCTCCTGGAGTTTATAAGGCAGTCATTGGTTGTTTGAAAACAGGAACTGAGAGGGAGATGTGACAAAAGGGAGTGGGTGGGAAGCTAGAGGTTAATGGTTACAATATCATTAGTTTGCTTATCATGCCAGGTAACCGGATGGGAATATTCTGGGAATTAGAATATGAGTAAGGCAATGTTCTCTGTAAGCTTGGACGCTGTAGGTTCCTTTTCAACTAGTGTCACAATGCTGAAGGTATCCCTAGAGACTAGGAAATGCAAGTGATATTGTCCCTCACAGATTCGGTTCTCCACCCTTCTATAGTGTAACACCTTGTCCTGCACGGGAGAGGATATAATGTCATTGGTTGTCTAGGACTGTATTTTGTGATGTTAGCCATAATTGAATCACAGAAAGTATATTAAAATATTGAGGAGTGAGTATGTGTGTGGTAAATATGTACAGGTGAGACAGAATATTTAGATGTTAGCCTTGAATTCTGAATGTCAGGGGGTCTTGCTGGTTAAGAGACAGGGGTGTGTGGATTGAGCAATGTAAGAAGATGGTGGGGAAGGAAAAAGATACATTCGCTGACATGAAATCATTAGATCGCTTCTGGCAATGCTGTTTGAGAGTGCCAAGTCCTGAAACTGATCTTGCTGGCCAACTGTTCCCCTTCACTTCTATGAGTGGTTCCTGGCTGTCTTGTGCAACCATAGCATTGCTCCTTTTGCCCACCAAGATTGGTTACAGCATAGAAAAGGCCCTTCACTCGGTTGTGACCATACTATGTCTCTACAAAAGCAATTCAGACAGTGTCACTCCTTCACCCTTTGCCTGCAACTGGGCACAAGTCCATCTGACTTCCTCCGTTTGCCCTGGTGTTTACAAGAATTGCCATTGCAGCAATTTTTATTTTTGCAGCTTTCCTTTGATACACAGTCAGCCATTAGGAAAGGGCAGGCTGCTTGTATCATATGTTCTGCAACATGTTCTGTTATGGGCGGCACAGTGGCTCAGTGGTTAGCACTGCTGCCTCACAGCGCCAGGGACCCAGGTTTGATTCCATCCTCGGGCGACTGTCTGTGTGGAGTTTGCACGTTCCCCCCGTGTCTGCATGGGTTTCCTTCGCGTGCCCCGGTTTCCTCCCACAGTCCAAAGATGTGCAGGCTAGTTGGATTGGCCATGCTAAATTGCCCATAGTGCCCAGGGATGTTTAGGTTAGGTGTGTTAGACACGGGAAATGCAGAGTTATGGGAATGGGTCTGGGTGGGATGCTCTTCGGAGGATCGGTGTGGACCTGTTGGGCCGAATGGCCTGTTTCCACACTGTAAGGATTCTATGATCTTTGATTCTATGAAAACTATCTGGACCTCCTGCTATTTAATCACACTGGTAGGATTGAGCAGCACTGGAGACACTGGAACTGGAACAAAAATCATCTAGATGAGATGAGTAAATGAATTTTGTGTCTTATCCTCCTCAACCCGAACAGATATTTGTATGTGACTCACCGCATAAACACAGTGGCTACAAGAGCAGGTCAGAAGCTAGGAGTGCTGCGGCAAGTAACTTGCCTCCTGACTCCTCAAAGCCTGTCTGCCATCTACAAGGCACACATTAGGAATGTGGTGGAATGCTGCCCACTTGCCTGGTTGAGTGCAGCCCCAACAACACTCAAGCAGCTTGACACCATCCAGGACAAAGCAGCCCGATTGATTGGCACTACATCCACAAGCATCCACTCCCTCTACCACCGACATTCAGTAGCAGCAGTGTGTACTATCTACAAGAAGTACTGCAGAAATTCACCAAAGATCCTCAGACAGCACTTTCCAAACCCATGACTGCTTCCATCTAGAAGGACAAGGGCAGCAGATATAAGGGGACACCACCATCTTCAACTTCCCCTCCAAGCCACTCACCATCCTGACTTGGAACTATATTGCCATTTTTTCACTGTTGCTGGGCCAAAATCCTGGAATTCCCTCCCTAATGGCATTGTGGGTCAACACTCAGCAGGTGGACTGCTGTGGTTCAAATAGGCAGCTCACCATCACCACCTTCTCAAGGACAACTAGGGACGGACAATAAATGCTGGCCAGCCAACAATGCCCACATCTCACAAATGAATTTTTAAAAATTTGAATCATTGCCCCATTGCCAAAAATCAGAGCATGTGAATTTTGCATCCCTTGAGTTTCGGATTTACTTTTTTTTGAAAGAATGTCACCACCTATTTATTAAGGATCTTGTAGGAGGGAGAAGACATAACAATGGTTTGTTTGTTCATCGTCAGTTCTTTGAAAATTGGTTCAGAATGTCTAATTAGCAGTACTATTCTCAGAGTAATGTTTTAATTTAAAATTGAATGTAATGCAGCATCAAATTTTCTGTAATCAAAACAAGAATAGGCCATTCAGCCTCTCAAACCTACACTGCCATTCTAGATCATGGATGATTATCTCCCTAAATGCTATTTTCCCATTCTATCCCCATATCTTGATCTTGGAAAATAATCCATTAGTTTTTGTTTTATTACTTTGTTGAATAATAATGTTTCTGAAACAGACATAAACAGAAATTGCTGGAGAAACTCTGCAGCATCTGTGCAGAGAAAACAGTTAACATTTCAAGAAGCATCACCGCACTTGAAACATTTAGCTCTTTGTCTTCACAGGTGCTGCCAGCTGAATTCCCCAGCAATTTCTGTGTTTGCTTGTTTCAGGTCTCTAGCAGCCACAGTTCTTTGTTTTATAATAATGTTTTTAAAATGTGCTATACTGACAGGAGTTGTAGAAAAAATCTGTAAAAACTGCATGATGTATGTTTCTAAACATTTTTAAAGTTATACAGTGACAAAGTCTTTGATCAACAGCCTTTTTCTTTTTTTGTATTAAATTAGTTACTTCATGTGTATTAATGTCAGATGACCTAAAAGCAGACTGCTGCAGAAATAAATATGTGGCAGGATTATATTTTAGAAATTTGTCACAGAATTTGTGCAATGAAGAAAACCCACAGCATCATCTTTGTTCCATTTTATTAGTGACCCCAATGAAATTAAGCGGACGGTGTCTCATATCTCATGGCATCCAGATCAAGGCCGAAAGCTGGCAATTTCTTATTGTTGTCTGGAGTTTCAAAGAGATGCTGACAATATGAGTTATGAATCATACATCTGGGACATCGGTAATTCATAATAATGTGTTGTAGAACTGTTATTGATCTTATTTGTTTCTTAGAACTTAATTAAGGAACTTTTAAAACATTATTCACTAAGCTGTTCAGAGAAATGAAGAGAGGAAGTTTTGAACACCGACGAATGCATACACTGAATAACATCACTTTAACAATCACATCTGACAGGCATTACAATTCAAGTAGATCTCACCAAGTGGTTACAAATTTGTTGTGCTAGTTACTTGAATCAAGAAACCACAATTGACCTGAATTTTGAGTGATGCCAGTCAAAGTACACACTGAATTGGAAGTTGAGATGAAGCTATGAAAAAGATGGGAAAAATGAATCAACCGACTCCACAGTGTAACATTCCCCACTAACAACTCACTCCCTAAATACACAATCTCTTGTGGGAGAGTCAGAAAAACCAGTGAACAGTTTAGGCAAATGAAGAATATTGAGTAAGATTCCCAATCTAAGACTTGAAAAAATGCAGAAGGCACGGATGTGGAGGAGTTGAGAGCAGAATAAGTTCTTAATTTTGTATGGCCCACGTCAATGCATATTAAGTTTGAGTGACTTGTGTCAGCTGTACTGTTTTGTGTCCTGCTAATGCTGGAATATAGCAATTATTTGGTCCATAAATCTGTGAAGACTAATCTCTAATCATCTACTAACTTAGTCCATTTCATCCTTCTTTCAGAAATGTGTAGGGTGATATAGCTGATTTTTACAGAATATCCTTCTGACTGTTGGCAAGAAACCAGATTCCATGTTCTGAATAATTTTATTGTTGATAACTTATTTGTAAGCCATTTGCCTTAACAAGCAAAATCAAACTTGCAGCTTGCCTTTTGTTACTTATTTAGTGTTATTTTCTGTAGTCTCTTATCACAGTTGCAGGATTGCCTTCCTTCTTGATTCACTTCAGAAAATTATCATATATTTATAACAATGTGAAATAACTGCACAAAGTCCAGTATCCTTTCATCGAGTCACCCTAAATTTAGTTGTGCGCAGTACACTGGCTGTGGCCAGCCAGCTCAAAGTCAGTCCCCTGAACTGAGGAGATTCTAAATCCCCCGTTTATATTGGTCAGCCAGCACTTTCTGATTAGCCCAGGTAAACAACCACAATCAAAGATCTTGTAGTCCACAAGATCCACCTGGTTCCAATCACTACATCATTCCCCCAACTAAGTCCAGTGATGTAGGCCTGGTCTTTCTCTTGTAGCTTTTCCTGTGATGTTTTTGCCCCAGGTCTGGTTTCTCTGACTCAGCGCCTGCATCAGAGTGTATGTACTGGACTGTAGCCTGTCTTTTGCGTCCAGAGCATCTCAGGAGAGTTTCCTCCTCTTCTTCTAACAGTAATGGTATTGATGCTGCAGCCATCGCGGACTCTGAGGTTTCGTCGACACTAGATGGAGGGGGAGAACCTATGGTTTCTGATAGGCCTTCTGGCTGTTTTGAGGCACCAGGTATGTTTTGTTTCTGAGACAACAAGGTGCAGGGCTGGATGAACACAGCAGGCCAAGCAGCAAGCCCTGTTTGCGAGGTAACAGGTTTCAGTTGATCCACATGTTTGTTCAGGACTGCCTTATCTACCTGAATTTTGTAAGTCATGGGACCTGACCTCTCATCAACTGCACCTTGTACCCATACAGGTCCATTTCCATGGTTCTGGCACTAAACTTCGTCCCCTGAATTAAATTGCCTGTCCCACTTAGAGGAGGCATGTCGCCAGCATTGCCATTCCTGCTACTGTTTCACAAACCACCCCCACCTCCTCAGGTCTGGGAATATCAGGTTTAACCTGGTGCAGAGTTTTCTTCCCATCAGCAAGCCTGCTGGAGCTATTCCTGTCGTTTCATGAAGGTTGGCCCTATAATTGAACAGGACTGGGACAGTTTGGCATTGAGTGATGCTTTAGGCTGCTTCTTTAAGCCTGCCTTCAGTGTTTGGACCACTCTTTCCGCCAGATCATTGGACGATGGATGGTTGGAGCTGTCCTTATGTGCCGAATGCCATTCAACTTTAGGAAATACTCAAATTCCCTGCTGTTTAATGACGTCCCATTGTCTGAGACCAATTCTTCCGGGAGCCCATGTATCGCAAACGATGCTCGCAGCTTCTCCAATTGTCATCCCTGAGTTTGCTGAATGAACTTTATGCACATCCAACCACTTTGAATAGGCATCCACAATGACCAGGAACATTGAGCTCATGAAAGGACCGGCATAGTTGACATGTAACAGTGTCCAGGGTTTACCCAGCCATTCCTACGAATGTTGGGGAGCCTGTGGGATAGTTAAGTCCCTTCTAACTGAAAATGCTGTGGATTCAGTTGTAGTCAGGACTACTCATTGCTTTTCATCTGCCCCGATGTCATTTGTCTGGAAAAAGTATCACATTCTTTCCATATACTGGGCCCAGTCTTTGACAGCAGGATCAAACGAGTCAAGCTTCCCAAATAAAGGCATGATGCCAGAAATGTTTACCCCAACTCCAAGACGACTGTTACGAGTGTATGTTCTTCAGGTGCGTATTATTTTCACGCGTCACTACTGAAATAACTGCACAGAGGCCGGTATCCCATCACCAAGTCACTCTTTATTTACTTGTGCACAGTGTACTGGCTACGGCCAGCCAGCTTGGAGTCAGTCCCCTGAGCCGAGGAGACTGTAGATCCCCATTTTATTTTCCCTTTTTTATGATATCTCCGTCCAGTAAGAACTTCTTCCTCACAGTACACTGGCTGTGGCCAGCCAGTGCGGAGCCAGTCCCCTGAACCGAGGAGATTCTAATCTCCTTTACACTCCTGCCATGTAACAGTAGAGCTTATTTCCCACACACCACCGCCCCCACCAACCACCTCCCCCCCACCGCCCCCGCAGCACCCACTTTGTGTGTGTTGTGCAGGGATGCAGTGAAAACACCAGTTGTGTAAATAATTTTATTCAATATTCCACCATCAGGAAAAACATCAGTGTGGCCAGGCAACCACTGTCAAGCAGAGCCTAGTAGGGGCAATGCTTACGTGAAAGAAAAATAAGTGAAGGGGAGCATTAGGATCAAATCTAAATAGAATTGGAGGGGTAAATAAAACACTACACACCCCCGTGGTGCCCACCTTTCCCAAAAGGCATCGAGAGCATTGGTGGACACTGTGTGCTCCCTCTCCAAGGATATCCATGCTCCAACATAGCTATGGTAGAGAGGTAAGCAGTTGGCAGAAATGACCTCCACGGCCTGTATTGTTTATAGCCAGCCTGGCCGATCCCCTGTTTATATTGATAGCCAGGGCTCTCTGGCCCAGGTTAACAATCCCATTCAAGGATCCCATAGTCAATGAAATCCACCTGGCTCCAATCAATACACTATGGGAGATCACTGCCTCATAATCAGTGTGTAGGTTGCACTTGTGTAAACGTCATATCTACAGTTTATAGAATAAGCAGTAAAGGTATCAAAAACATGACCATAGCTCGTCACCCAAGAAACATGAATCATAAACCTGTGTTTTTGTTAAATTAATTCATTATATGTGGGTGTCACAGGATGGGCCAGCATTTGTTGCACATCCCTATTTATTCTTGACAAGTTGGTAAGCTACCTTTTCGTACTTGCCACTTTGTAATCCAAGCCTGAATGTTGTCCGGGTCTTGCTGCAAGTGGATCCAGGCTGCTTCATTACATGAGAAGTCATTAACAGTGCTGAAGACAACACTCCAGTTAATAGTTTCAATTTACTTTAAGCCTGTTGTGATGGATTTTGGTATCTTTCTCGTTTCATCATCATTTACTGACACCTCATTCCCTGAAGAGAAATTCTCCAACAAATGTCTTTGTCATTCTGTAATTTGCCTTTGATAGGTATGCAAGTGTGGCCTTGGATGAGACAAGGTTTCATTTTTTTCTCCTAGATGAAAATATCAGACCATTTATCCAGACAGAATAATTCTAAATGAAAGTTATCATGTTTAAATTGATCTGTGGTTTGTCTAAAAATGTTTGGTTTAATTATAATTCTGTGATCCAATCATTATGTTACAGGAATTCATATTTAATCAAATTTTTGTTCTATAGAAAATACAAATAAGCATGACATGGTAATAAAGCCAGTATCACCTCTTCTGTGTCTGGAGTACAACCCAAAAGATTCACATATTCTGGCTGGAGGTTGTTACAATGGACAAATGGGTCAGTAAGTGAACACCGCAATATAAGTGCACCAAAGCTTGCAATATTCACCAATGTAACAATTTTGATTAATTTCCAAGTAATAGAAATTACACAAAGTCACAGTAGTTGGTACAGGAATTTCTGTACCAATCTAGGAATTTATCAAAATGTTTTCAGCACTGTCTTGTATGAGCTGTATTTAGAAAATAAACGGGCCAGTTGTCATTGAGTGAAAGGTCACCTGTGTTCTAATTCTGTGTCACATTTCAAGCTTTTCATAAGCTGGAAACAGGAGGTGTCTTAAAAACAAATTCCTTTTCTTACATAAAATTGAATAAAAAGAGGGAAAGAAACCGGGAAAAGTGTGGTTAAATTAACAACAATAACAAACTATGTAGTTCCTGTAGCTGTAAACCTACAGATGCTGCTGAAAACCTGAATATTAAGCCAAATTACAGCAGAAATTTTTAATGTTTATGATTATAGTCTCTGGAGTTTAGAAAAAATAGAAATTATCTTGTTGAAAGATATAAAATCCCTAGAAGATTTACAGGCTTGACACGAAGAGACTCTTTGCCTCGTGCTGGACAGTCTCGAACTTGGGATTGCAGTCTCAGAACAAATAACAAATTATTCACTTAAAGGTTTGTGAATAAAAGATCCAAATCTTTTTCACCAAGGCAGAGTAGACTAGGATAAAATATTGAGAACTTTATGACAGTAATTAATTACACGGAATGTTTCTTCATACAACTGTTACAAAACTAACATCAAAAGGAAGTCTCCAACATTCAAATATTTGCTGTACTGTTAAATACCCACATTTTATTTCTCTTATAAAGGATACTGGGACACACGGAAAGGAAGTCAGGCGGTTGAAATTCCAACAATTGAAGTTGGTCATCGGGATCCTGTATACAAGATTATTTGGTTACAGTCTAAAACGGGAACAGAATGTTTCTCTGCTGCTTCTGATGGACAGGTAACTGCAGAAGGAAAAGAAAACATATATCACAAATTCTTTTGTTAGTAGAGACAGCCAATTTTCCTGCCACATAAAACTGTTGTAGTGCTCCAATAATGCACTGGAAATGGCTTGACAAAGGGAATTCACCCTTCAGTTTTTAATCTAAAGCTTTTCATTGTATTTCATTCATGAGAGACTTAGTGAATGATTTGAAGTACATTGGTTTCTTATGCTAAACATAGAACAGTTATTGGGAGAAAACGGGAAGATCTCATATGCAACAAAACAATTTTGGAGAGAAAACTGAAGGATCAATGACAACAAATTTAGAATTTTGGGTGTTCTAAATCACAACCTAGAAATAGAGTATAATGACAAACTTTTCACTGTGTAGTAAAGTTCAACAGCTTCATATAGTATAGGAATTTGAAAATTGTTAATTTAAGTTATTTAATAAACATTTTTATCTTTCTACATCATACACAGTCTATAAAACATTATAGAAATCAGAGAGGTGACTACATGTGAGATTAAAAATTATTGTAATAAACACGGAATTCACTCCTAAAACTTTCTACTTCATTCAGTATTAACACTCGTTGATGGGATCAAGTTGGTTACAAAGTACAAACTCTAGCACAAACTATTCAACATACAAAAGTAAGGCTATGTGTTTTGGAAGGATGAAACGCAATTTTCGTAATTGATCAATGTTGTTATTTTAATTGACCAGTCAGATGTGTTATGGTATACTTCTGGGGCAGGTAGAACTTGAACCCAAACTTCATGGCCTAGAGGTAGGGACACTGACACTGCATCACAAAACTTCAATTCATTATGTATTATTGTCATCCCACACACAATAGCAATATTGAATACAAAATACTGTGGCTGACAAAAAAACGGCTTAATAGAGTCATAGAGTTATACAGCATGGAAACAGACCCTTTGATCCAACTTGTCCATGCTGACCAGATATCCTAAATTAATCTAGTCCCTCTAAACCCTTCCTATTCATGTATCCATACAGATGCCTTTTTTAAATGCTGTATTTGTACCAGCCTCCACCACTTCCTCTGGCACCTTGTTCCACACACGCACCACCCTCTGTGTGAAAAAGTTCCCCCTTAGATCCCTTTTAAGTCTTTCCCCTCTCACCTTTAAACCTTTGCCCTCTAGTTTTGGACTCCCATACCCTGGGAAAGACACCTTGGCTATTCACCCTATCCATGCCCCTCATGATTTCATAAACTTATATAAGGGCACCCTTCAGCCTCTGATGCTCCAGGGAAAATCGACCCAGCCTCTATCTATAGCTCAAACCCTCCAACCTCAGCAACATCCTTGTAATCTTTTCTGTACCCTTTCAGGTTTAACAACATCTTTCTCATAGCAGGGAGACCAGAGTTAAATGCAGTATTCCAAAAATGGCCTAACCAATATCCTGTACAGCTCAACATTAACACCGCTAACTCTCGTACTCAATGACTTTCACTTCTGTTATTTTAACAGAGGTAGCAAGCTCTTTATAATTGTGATCAGTAACTTCTAACCTTATTTTTAAAGCATGTAGGTTAAATAGATCAGAATGGAAGGAGTAATGAGGTGTTGTGTTGCAATTCTGTTTGTCATTTTCTCAGTCTGTCAGAGCGCAACAAAGCTGAACCGACAGGGGAGGTTAAACATTGACATGGATTTTCTGAGGGCCAGTCAATTGTTATTCTAGCATAGCTGGGAGTTGTGTGTGGTGACCCTTTGGAATCTCCATGGAAGCAAACTCCAAAGGAATTGCCTGGGAAATTGAAGATTTCACTGGGCAATTCCTCTACACCTGGAACCCTCTGAAAATCTTATTTAAATCAGAGAGTTCCGAAGTTTCTGATGAAATTAAGTAACTAGTTACTCGAGAAAAGTTTGGACTATTAAATACGTGTCTAACTCCTGAGTGACTGTACAATGGATTCTGTACTTAGCTCTCTCAAACCTCAACCAGAAACCCTGACCTGATACCCTTGGGACCCGACCTCCCCTTTCTCCAACACATAACCAACACCTGATAGTAATTATCAATTTATTATCTGATTGATATTGTTATACCTTAAACCGATGACCTTGTCTTCCTTTCTAACAAGATAAACACTTGATGTACTTTATTTACTGTGAGGCATTTGGAACTCCTCTGAATTGGTGAAAAGTGCACTGAGTCAGAGTTCTTTCTTTCCTTTAACACTATTAGAATCTATGTTCTTGATATATTCTTTTGTGTCACTTTAAGTTTATTTTGTGGAAAAAACTTGGCTAAAAATCAAAAATATTGTTTATTATTGATCATATATGGCATCCAAAGGTAAGAACAGGAAAGTTAAATTGTGGTCTAATGTCTGTAGGTACTGTGGTGGGATATCCGGAAGTTGAGTGAACCTGTAGAGAGACTCATTCTGGACATTACAAAGAAGGATGATCCAGACATTGCATATGGAGCTGTTTCGCTGGAGTTTGAAAGCACCATGGTAACTATCATAGGTACTTTGTCTCAAAGCCATGGTTTAATGTCACAAAGTACTACAGTAATGAAGGAAATATTCTTGTATAAAGTAGTATGTCAGTTTGGTAGTCAAAAACTTGAAAATTGCTGCAAAAGGTTTTGTCAAATTTTGTGAAATCTTTTCATCTTGTGCACATCAGGATAAATTAGAATAATACCACTTAAAGGGAAAATTAGCATTAATACTGCATGACGGGAGAGTGCTGATTTTTTGGCAAGTGCACTCTGATTGTTAGATACATAGCCAAATTCTGATTGATCAGCGCATTGCCACGAGAAATGAAGCAGTGAATGGTAGAACACACAAGTGCGCCACACTGCGAGACCGACTGACAATCATCTATTTGTTGTCAACATGAATCTTGCACGTTCAGTCATATGAAGCAGATGTTGTCCATACGCATAATCATTTCTAATGCTGAATATTATGATGTGAGTTTTGCAAGTGCAAGCTGGCTGACAATGGTCACTATCTTGCTGCAAACAACCAAAGGGACATGCTGTTTCATACGATCTACCTATCTTTTATACCTGATATCTCACCAGTACTAAAGTTCATATGCTACATTTCAGCACCAGGGATGACCACTTATTAGTGCAGAAGTAATATATATCAAAGCCATCCTACAGGATATTGGCTACATTGGTAAAATCATTTCTCACCCTATATGATGCAAACACATGAAAGCAACTATGGCAATCATTCTTGGGTCTTAAAGAGTTCTAAGTCTACCTCAGATTACCCTGGAAGAATATGATGTCTGAGAAGTTTGAGCAACAACTGGATCTAGCTGTTTCATACTGCTACTATGTAGCAGTAACACATGGTTGCCACTAACAGGATGCTGCTGTCAAGCTAAAAAGATGTTTTGCCCATCATACAAATGAATTTTTTTTAAATAAAGGAAGAGCTGCAGATGCTGGAAATCAGGAACAAAAACAGAATCGTTTTGAACAGTTCTGAAGAAGGATCACTACACCCAAAACAATAACTCTGATTTTTCGCCGTAGATGCTAACAGACCTGCTGACTTTTTCCAGCAATTTCTGTTTTTTTATACAAATGAGTAGTGTGGTATATGAATTTCATTGCCTGCTGTTGTCAGGTACGTAGGTCTTACATGCCAAAGGCACACCATTTCAAACAGCACATCTGTTTGGCATACAACAAGAAAGTTACTGACCATACCCAATCAACTTGCGCTTGTAAAACTAAAAGTACAGAAACATTGACTGAGTAATCCTGAGAGTGCAAAGAATCATGCTGACCACCAGTTTAGGATTGGCAGTTGGGTTTACAGTGTGGCAGGCTTGCGTGTACTGAAATCTACCTATATTAATAAACAGGTCAAAGTAAACACAAAGAACTGCTGGAAATCTGAAACCAACTGGACAAACAACTATGAAGGGTCATTAGATGTGAAACATTAACTCTGTTTTCTGTCCAAAGTTGCTGCCAGGCTTGCTGTGTTTCTCCAGCTCTCTCTGTTTTTGTTAACATATAGGTCCCCATTCTTCGCGGTCAGATATTTTTAATGAACCTGTTCAGAGATGTTATTACACACCTCTGAAGTAGGTGGGACTTAAACCAAGCACTCCAAGCTCAGGGGTAGGGACACTACTAGTGCACCACAAGAGCCCTTATTCTTTGCAGTTTTTAAAAACATTTTTAAATCTATTTTTCGCATCCGTCTGTTCAGAGATATTATTACACATCTCTGGAGCAGGTGGGTCTTGAAACCAGGCCTCCTGGTCCAGCAGTAGGAGTATTACCACTGCACCACACGATGGTTTCATAAATTCTTCACAGTTGGAAAGAACACGTACAAGCACTGCATCTATTTCAACTCAACAAAAAAGGTGACAACCATTCATTGGTTCATTTCTCAATGCCTCTGATCAATTAGTGTCAACCTTCCTAGTTTAAAATTAAAACAAAACTTGATCATTGACTATCAATCAACATGAACAGGTGCAATTTCCATGGCATACCTTTAACAATCAGAGTCCACTTGCTAACCAAGCAACACTCTCCTGACATGCATTATAAATGTTGGTTTTTCCCTTGAATCAATATTCTTGTAAACTGTCCTGATGCAAGTAATATGAAAAGCTTCGACAGAATGTGGCTTTTTTCGGTAATATTCTTATTTTGTGTAAAATTGGAATATTGAATCAGGGTCGAAACCTTTGCGAAGAGAGTGGGGAACTTTTAAGAATTGTATTACCTGTGCTTTGTGCATACGTATCATGGATTGCTCACATGCAGCATTAGCAGAAGGCTGGAAGCAGATTACTCTGCCTATCCGGGGAATGATGTACATTTGAAATCTCACTATTAGCCTCCTCACCATTCGCAAACTCACTAATTGCAAAACATTATGTACACCATTTTGCTCATTGCATGTCCAATATTGATTTAAATGTGGTTTTCGGGAAAAAAAAGAAGAAATCCAGGAGAAATTTGTTTGAAATATGAAAATGTGTCTAAATGATATAAAAGAAAACTATGATCCTGCAGATGTCCATGATGTTTTTCCTGGACTAGTGTTACGACCAGAAATAGCAGACTAACCAAATCAGCCTTACTATCTCTGAATTCACAACACAATAAAATTAAAATATTCAATGCCCCTCAAAATTGCCCAATTGTTCCTAACCAGACTTCACAAATAACAGACCTTGGATACCAAGTTTATAATTTAAACAAAAATAATAATTTATTATTAATACTGGTATAGCCGGACAGAGCTAAGCAACAAGGTCCCCTAATTAATCTCTGTGATTTTAAACCCAACCTTCTTTGAACAGAGCACCCCACTCACAAGACTCGACAGACAGACACAGTTAAGGGATAAATTAAAAAGAAAATAAAAGAATTTGTAACTTGCTAGTTAAATTAAACAGTTTCAAATATCAATCCCTAGTCTGCTTGTAATCCTTGGATAATGAGTTTTCACAGCCACATAACAATATATCTAATTTCAAAGTCACCGGTGAGTGTAAACAGATTCAATAGATTTCCAGAAGCATTTATTTATTTTTTTACAGACTGGGATTTTTTTTCTCAGAACATTCAACAATTTTAACTGGATAGAAAGCTAGAGAAAATAAAAGACAGCAACCAGTCCCAAAAGTTCCAAAATTACTCTGCACTTGCCAAAACCAGTCAAAATAGGTTTTCTTTTTTTTCCTTTTCTTTTTAATCAATATTTTCTGTGGTTATCTGGTCAACATCAGTCCTCCCCTGATTGACCAATTCAACATCCAACCAGCTGCAAGTCCAGGACATTGCAACACTTGATGCTGAATTGTCCACGTTCCTTAGCTTAAGAATTAAATTGAATTATCTTCCAGGCCAGCCACTAATAGCAAACATCAGTGTTTGTTGTCTTCTCTTTTAAAACACACAGCTCTTCCAAGTTCTATGAATCCTAATCTCAACTTCCAGTTACACCAAAAAAAAGGAGAAAAATAAAAGAATGATAGTGAGGGTTTCTACACCAGGAAGTACAAACTGTGTGTAAACCGTCTCTTTTTCTGCTTACTGGAATGTCTGTCTTGGATATTCATTGATGTTACAATTTAATTTGTAATCTAATAAGGATAAAGGGGACAAATGTTGTATGTTACTTATTTGATTAAACAATTATTCCAGCAGGGCATCTTCATGTTTATTACGAATATTGTCTCTATCGTCCTTTATCTTACTTTTAATTGTTGAAACTGATCTTATAGGCTCCCGTAATAAAATATGTTCACCGTTGATAATGTTTTCTAAGAAATGCCTCTTCACTCCCCTGTGAACAACAGGACTTTACTGTATAGCATAGGAGAGCTGAAGAGCGAAGATAGCTATCAAACATAATTTGGAATAATACTAGCCCTATGCCAGTGCATTCCAAACTGACAAATCATATTTTAATAATTTGCTCACTTATAAATATCTTGAGCTGTTTTTGTGGATGAGTAACATAGGGAGATTGGGCTGTAGATTATTGTCTTCATGCTGCTGGTGAATGTGCATAGTAATGTCTGTATGCACATTTTGAGGAGAAAATCAGGAAACTTAAAGGCACCAGTTTTTGTAAATAGGAGATAGGCAGCAATGGAATTCATACTTTTTAAAGTTTCTACAACTTGGTGACTTATTCATATACAGAGTTTATAAGTTGTGAGAAAAAGAAACATCAGAAATTTATGGATTGTCCTGTCATCAAGAGATAGACTTAAGCAGGTTTGAATTCTTATCAAATAATTTGTAGAATTACAGTGCTGCTTTTTTATATCAGAAACAAGTTAGTTCCATTCTGTGGGGCGGTATGGTTGGCTTATTGGTTAGCACTGCTGCCTCACAGTCCCAGGCACCTGGGTTCAATTCCAGCCTCGGGCAACTGTGTGGAGTTTGCACATTCTCCCTGTGTCTGTGTCAGTTTCTTCCTGGTGCTCCAGTTTCCTCCCACAGTCATAAAGATATAAGGCTTAGGTGAATTGGCCATGCTAAATTGCCAATAATGTCCAGGGATAAGTAGGTGATATGGATTAGCCATTGGAAATGTAGGCTTACAGGAATGGGATGGGAGGTGGGATGTTTTTCAGAGGAATGGTGTGGATTCAATGGGCCAAATGGCCTGCTTCCACATGGTAGGGATTCTATGATTCCCTTGTTGTATTATTCAATCTGACACTGAATGGATTTTTGATGAAAATTTGCAGTCCTTTTGGCTGCTAATTCTAAAGCATAGTCCTCATTTGAAAATATTTTGGCACTATAAAGTTACAGCATGAGGTGTGATAGGGTGCAAAGTCAACAAAAACTATTTATTAAAAGTTGTCTAATTCAGATTATCTGGGAATAGTAACTTTTCATTTTGCTGTCTATTTAAGTTGTTTCACTTTTTTAAACATAAAAATAAAAATTCATATTATCAAGCATTAAAGAAAAGTGATACTATTCATACAAATCATTCTTATATTATTTTATTACCAGACTTTATTTGGTTAATTTGGAAGATTAGAAAAATTAATTTAAGTTTAATGAATATGAAGTCTTAATCAATTGTTTCTGAATCTTCCTTTGCCTCTATAGCCAACCAAATTTATGGTAGGGACAGAACAAGGTGTCGTAATATTGGGAAATCGAAAAGGAAAAGTCCCAGCTGAGAAGATTGTGTCCACCTTCACTGGCCATCATGGTCCAGTCTATGCTGTCCAGAGAAACCCTTTTTACCCAAAGAACTTTCTAACAGTTGGGGACTGGACAGCCCGAATTTGGTCTGAGGAACTCAGGGACTCGTGCATTATATGTACTAAGTGAGTAAAATACATGATATGGAGTAATAGAAAAAAAAAAAGTTCTGATAACTTTATTTGTACATGATATTATAAATAGATAGATGTGTTTGGAAAATGATAATTTGCATTAAAAAAGTCCCCAGACAAAGTCCTGAGTAGCAGTCTAACAGGCAAACTGATCATCTTGCTGGTTTGAGTGGTTACGCAGTCATAACAGCTTATTGAACGGGGGCTCAATTCTTAGTGTACTTTTCCTAATTCTCCACTTTTATGTTGTAATGTTACATTCTTAAATTCCATTTTTGAAACTTTCTGAGTAACACTGCACTATGTTCAGCATGACATCACTATGTTATAACCATTTACTAGCCAAAACAGCCTAACCACCTACGTACAAATGCATTATGAGAACCCAATATTTGTTTTCTTTATTCTTTCAAGGGATGCAGGAATCATCAGCAATGCTGACGTTTGTTTCCCATCCCTAATTACCCTTGAAGTAATTGGTTTGCTGGGCTTTTTCAAAGTTAAGAGCTAAACACGTTGCTATGATTCTGAAGTCAGACCAGGATGGATGGAAAATTCCCTTCCCTAAAGGGTTTCTTCAGCAGTGGATAATACTTGGCGTGGTCCTCATTACTGATGATTGGCTTTGCATTCCACTTTATAAATTGAATTTAAATTCCACCAGCAGTCCCTGATCATTAGCCTGGACTTCTAGTTTACAAGTCTAAACAAAGTGCCATTTATCCACCAGCTCCAAAAGTAATTTGCACAATTGGATAACTTAAGTCAATTCTAAGTAGTCCTTAGCCAATGTCAGTTAAATACTCAGACCTGAGTGAAATTTGGAAGAAATGCTCTGCAGCATTCTGAGATAACATGCTGTATAAAATGGCAAATCAAACTTAAAATTGTGAGAAACCTATACAGTACTAAAGTCATTATGGCAACACTTGGCATGGCAGCAAAGGGATTGAATCAGGCTTCAATAACTTAACATTCAAATGTGTTGTTGGTTTGATTACGTTTCACTTATTCTGCATTGACAAAAAGAAGTTGACAATCATTTTGTGCTACAGTGAATGTTTCACTCCATTGAAGGAAAATTGGCTGGTCCTGTCAGGTCTAAATTACACACTTTTTAT